GTGGCTGGTGCCATAGCCGCTTGAGCCACAGGCGCCAAGCCTATATTTTCTTTAAACTTTTTAAAATTTCACCAGAGGCATTTGATCCAGTCCCACAGCCAAAGGCTTCCCCGAATTCCATGTTTATTTTGACACTCAGGCTCCTCAGGGTCATTTCCCTCACCTCATGGATGATCTACTAGGATACAGGAACAGAAGTTAATCATCCTTTCAATCCTTTTCCATCCTTGGCCCAAATAACTTTCAAATCCTGTTCCCCCCCAACCTAGCTTCATTGACCAACTGTCTCCATCTAAGCTGGGTGCACATAGCACAGACTGTAATGGGGACCTTAAATGGGGGTTCTGCTTCCTGACCAGCAACCTTAATGCACAATGGAGTCTCATGATTCTGCTGCTTTATGTGTCACATTTTTCTTCTCTCTCACTCTCTCTTTCAGATACCTTGTTCAAACCAGAGTATAGCAGGTTGATGTCAAATACCATTTCATGTCCTGCGATGTATTTGATCTGTGTGATTGCTCTTCTGTATCTCCGAACACGAGGTATTCAACTCAGGACAGGTCAAGGGTTTGCAAGGCCATCCTTTCTTTACTTGAAACCAAGTACTTAAGAGGAGGTTTAGAAAATGTATCAACTTGCACCTTAGTGCATCCCATTGCTTTATTTGCTGAAGGGAGATCTCAGTGTCTTGAGAAATGCTTCAGATCAAACGACCTCCCTCCCTCCTATGTATTCTACAGGGTGAAGGCACTGCTGCTGCTAGAGTTGCTATTACCACCAAGATCTCCTGATCTTTGTGGAGCCATCGTCACTTTCCTCTCATTTGGGCCATTTGCTGGAATCTGAATAATATGCATAATTTTGAAAAATATTTAAAAAATAGTTTTCTCTTCCAGTCATCCATAGATTTTTAGACTTACTAGTCAAATTATTCATATTTTCTCTTGATAATAAGAGACAGAGAAAAATATATGAATCAATAACCAGATTCTTAATCGTCCTGAATGTTTTTTCAACTCCTCTTTTGTTCGCCCTTTGAAATTGACCTGAACATACATCTTTTTTTGTTTGTTTGTTTCATTAGGGGTGGAAAATTCAGCCTTAATTTCAAGGAGCTAAAGAGCAGAGGGCAGAGAAGGCACCAAATACATTTGAGAATAGCACCCCCCACCCCCAGTACTGGACTGTAGAAATTCAGAGCACATAAAATGAGTAACAGAGGAGCCAGGTTATGGCATCACATACTTTAGATTTCCTGAAAGAAAGAAGCTGTCATACATTATAGTCTGTTCTGGATGGAGGAAGAGATGGAGTTGGAGACTTTGGAAGATTATTTGATCTATAGTGACATGTATACAATTTATAAGTCAAGGTACCTTTTGAGGGTTATCATGAAAAGGAGACTTACCTGTGATCAGGAAACACAGGGCTAAAAAAGAAAACAGAGTTAAATAAAGTTCAGCTTGTCCAGTCCTCTACCCAATTCGTAAAGACCAAAGTTGTTCTTTGGATGAATATTTATCATATGCCAGGAGATGTGATAAACAATTTATAGTCAATACCTTACTAACTTATCCAAACAAACCTATGAGGTAAGTTCTATTTATTATTATCATTATTTTTAAATGGAGAAATTGATAATCAGAGTTTTCAGGTGAATTGTTCAAGCTCAAATAGTCCCTAAATGTAGAGCCAGGAGTGAAACCTAGTTGTTTTGATACTTTTTTCCAAGCATAACACTTTTCTTAAAGCCTATGTAGGGATCAAGACCATCCTTGTACACTTACGGTGAAGAGGAGGTCAATAAGTTACTAGGCAACTTGATATTTTTTATTCAACAAATGTATTTTGAGTGTCTCATGGGTACTAGGCATTGTTATAGAAATTTTGGGGGGATAGAGTCTCACTCTGTTGCCCCAGGCTGTGCCATGGTGTCATTGCTCACAGCAACCTCAAACTCCTGGGCTCAAGTGGTCCTCTTGCCCCAGCCTCCGGATCTGTGACTCTAGGCATTTGCTAATTTTTTCTATTTTTGGTAGAGATGGGGTCTCACTATTGTTTAGGCTGGTCTCAAACTCCTGAGCTCAAAGGATCCACCCACCTTGGCCTCCCAGAGTGCTAGGATTACGGGCATGAGCCACCGAGCCTGGTCTGTTCTTGTTATTGACAGTAAAGCAAGGGGGAGGGGGAAGCCACAGGGCTCTGTTTTTGTATAGATCACTTCTAGAGCAAAATAAGAAAATTCTTCCTTTTGGAACTTTTCTTTTGATAATTTGTAAAATTTTTGATTTAAAAAACATACACACACACATAGGTGAACCAAAACCAACCCCCCCCCCCACCTTGGCCTTTCTGGACCTTCTCCACCTTAAGCCAAGTAGTCAGTTATTTATTCCTTGCATGATATGTTTAAGAATTACTCAACAATCTTGCCATTTTCTCCTAGAAATGTTAAAAATCAGTAAATAATTTTTTAAAGAAACAATTTAGCTTGATATAGAAAAGCTATATTAGTAAAGAGAGTTGTTCAGTCTTGAAACAATCCTTCTCACACTGTAGTAATCTCCCTGGTATATGGGTTTCCAAGCAAATGTTGAATGCTTAAATAGCAGGGATGCTGTAGAGAAGATCCCTGCATTATACCTTAGGACCATTACAATTGTCAAATTCTTGGGTTCCAAGAAACTTTTGTCCTCTTAGCTAACTCCAAGTTCCCTAAAACTACCATTTTGTCTGAATGCTAAAAGGGTTAAGCATTCAGACAAGGTTATACTGAACAAAGTCTCACTGTTTTTAAATCTCTAAATCTAGGCTGATTTCATGTTGCACAGTGTGGAGAAAAGTAAGAGATTGTTCTTCCTAACCTTGCTCCATCCTCAGCCCATATATTTTCAAACTCTTAGCCCTGATTCCTGGCTCAATCTTCACTCACAGTCCTGCCTTTCATGTTCCTGAGCCCTGACTTAGGTTGGATAGATCTAAATAGATATGGCGTTGAGAGCTATGCCACATTTCCTGTTTGTTACTATTCTCGTGTGCTCTTGTTCGAACCCAGCCCTGGCCAAACTGCAACAAACTGCTATGCCCTAGCCTCCTAATTCTTCTTCCCCTTGACTCTTTTTCAGTTCCACAAAACAGAAAGTATCTTTTCTTCAGATGGTTGTTAGAGAGTGTACCTATCCTGATGTATATTTTTGTCTTGCTCATTTACTTGGATTTCAGAAACAGAGGTAAGTGAAATTGGAAAAATGGGATCCCTTAGTTCATCCCTTCTATGCCTGTATGCTCTTTACTTGGAAAAATTTGCATAAAGCTAGGAGGACAGCTTTGTAGTAGCCTTTGTAGCAGCCTTTTGTAGCAGCAACAGGAGGAGTCAGGATTTACACGACATCTTAGAGCCTTCAGATGCTGTCCTTTGGACTGTGTAAGACCTAGAGTTTTAGGCTTCTCAGATGACTGCCTATATTTCCACCACCAGTCATGGTCACAACAGCTTGTGCACCAAGGGACAAGTATATTACTTCAGGTCCATCAGCCATTTCATCCATAATTATTGGGTACAAACACTCATTTACCAAACACAATTGCTGCTATCACCTGTATGTTGATTCTAAGCCAGTGATTCCTAACTATTTTTAAATTAAAAACCTCTTTTGAAAAATTAATGAAAAAAGAGCAGTACCTGTGGCTCAGTGAGTAATGCACCGGCCCCATATACCAAGGGTGGTGGGTTCGAACATGGCCCTGGCCAAAACTGCAACAAAAAAATCGCGGGGTGTTGTGGCGGGCTACTCAGGAGGCTGAGGCAAGAGAATCAACTAAGCCCAAGGGCTGGAGGTTGCTGTGAGCTGTGACACTATGGTACTCTACTGAGGGCAATAAAGTGAGACTCTGTCTTAAAAAAAATAGAAAAAACTCAAATACACAAATTTTCTTATTTTATTTCCTTTTTAGTTTCAAGGCTACCAAAAGATACTATTTGCTTCTCTTAACTATGTGTTTAGACAGAGAAGTGCAATTATGCTATATTATGTATTTTATTATGACACTATCTGAAAATTTAGCAATACCTGTCATTTGTTTGCAGTTACTATGAAATACTGATTAATACATAAGACAATGGCTATGAAAGTAAACAAACGGATCATTTTTTTTTTATTTGCAAGGGCTTTGCCTTCATCCTTAAGACAAAATTGGTCCAGATGTTATATAGATAGCTTTTTCAAATCTATTATACAGGTATATTTCTGAATTACCCCAACCAAGCCCATTGCATGCATTTTCCTCTCAAATTATAAACCCAAGCTTCAAATATTAACAAACAAATGAGCCCAAAGGACAGGCCCATTAAGGTCACAAAAGTGTAGCAAGAATGTTTAAGAATGTCTAAAATGGAATTTTGTTTGCAACAGTATGGAATACTCTAAGCCACTCTTTCTGACTACTATCCATGTGCTGTAATTATCTATCTGTCTGTCTGTCTATCTCTATCGCTATCTAACTCTATCTCTATCATCTATATCTATCATCTATCTGTCTATATATCTATCTAGCTGTTTACCAACTATTATTTTTAAACTTTTCTTTTTAGCTATTAATAAAATGAGGAAATGGGAAAAATCAAGAGATACAGTCAAGATTACATTTGACTTTTTCCTTTCCTTTCCCAAAGCTGCATCAGAAAAAGAGGGACAAAGGATTTGAGGAGAAGGAAAGAGAAGTTTATTACTTTCCTGGCAAAGGAGGAAAATGGCAGACAGTAGTCTCAAAATTCAAATTCCTGCCTCTCAGCAGAAGCATAGAGTTTATAAGTTTCTGATCCCATAATCCCATCACGGGCCAAGCCAATTTTATGGCCTCTGCAACAGCCTTGTGATCTCCACCCAGATTAATCTCATCTTTTTTATTTTTATTTTTTATTAAATCATAAACACATAGATCATGTATACATTAATGCATTTATGGGGTACAATGTGCCGGTTTCATATAGAATTAGGAATGCTTACATCACATTGGTTAATATATACCTCATTTCGTTTACTTAGTTACTGTGTTAAGACATTTATACTGTATACTCTATACTAATAGATCTGACATGTACCCTTGCATTATGCATCATAGGTGTGATCCCACCATTCACCCTTCCTCGATCAAACCTTCCCCCTCCCCTCCACCTCCCTTCCCTCCTTCATCTTGAGCCATAGTTGTGATCTATTCTTCATATGAAAGTGTTAGCGATTGTAAATTGGTTTCATAATAGAACTGAGTACACTGGATATTTTTTTCATCCATTCTTGAGATACTTTACCAAGTAGGATATGTTCCAGCTCTATCTATGTGAACGTAAAAGAGGTAAAGTCTCTATCTTTTTAAGGCTGCATAATACTCCATGGTATACATGTACCACAACTTATTAATCCATTCATGGATCGATGGGCACTTGGGCTTCTTCCATGACTTGACTATTATGAATTGAGCTGCAATGAACAATCTGGTGCAAATATCTTTGTTATAAAGTGATTTTTGGTCTTTTGGATATACACCTAGTAGAGGAATTGCAGGATTGAATCACAGGTCTACTTTTAGATCCCTGAGTATTCTCCATACTTCTTTCCAAAAGGGATGTATTAGCTTCCACTCCCACCAGCAGTGCAGAAGTGTTCCCTTTTCTCTACATCCACGCCAACATCTCTGGTTTTGGAATTTTGTTATGTGAGCCACTCTTACAGGAGTTAGATAATATCTCAAAGTGGTTTTTTCTTTCTTTTTTTTTTCCTTTTTTTATTGAGCAATAATAATAATAATGCAAAAAAAAGTAACATTCGCATTGTCAGATAAGAGTATGTCTATCTTAGAATACTTCAACTCTGAGGTTCAATATGGAGTCATCAGTTAACTTTTTTTTTTAATTTGTTTTTTATTACATCATAATTGTGTACATTAATTCTCTCATAGGATACAGTGTGTTACTTCTATATGCAGCTTGGAAAACTCTCCTCCAAGTGGCTTACATAGCCATCATGTCTTTCTCATAATTGTTATGTTAAGACATTTATATTCAACCCTCAAAGTGGTTTTGATTTGCATTTCTCTGATGATTAAAGGTGATGAGCATTTTTT